CAATAAAACCCTCTACTACTCTGGCATAGCTTTCTGTGTCGGATTTGAACTTTTTCATTTGTACTTTAGATTGATCATCATTTGAGGTAGATCAATGAAATGACTACTACAGTAGTCGACTTATTGGTTAACATCAGATGAGACATTATCGTTGTGAAACCGTGCTACACGCTAAAATAATTTTTATACAGGTCCTAGAATATCATAAAAGATAGCATTCCACAAGTTACAACATAAGGGCCACATTGAAATTCTAAATTGAACTCTAGACTATTCCAAAGATAACTACCCAAACATGAGACCATGAATTAATTGGAACTTGATTTTTTTGATCATTTTATAAGCTTAAACCAGGCATACTGAGGTAACCCAGGATGAACATAAGAAAAAAACCATCGTCATAAAGTCTCAACCGAATCTGAATGCAGGGGGATCTCTGCAAACTCTTTCAAAGAACTCTGAGATTTTAGCCGTTGTTGACATTGTTGAATTAGTTGTTTTGCACTTGAAAACACAAATGTTGCAGCATTTGCGCATTTTCATATAAAATATTTGACACGTGGAAAGAGAAGAGGCTTTTTCTTGTTCTACCGTTCTGCTGCTTAGACTTCGATTATGATTGCAGTAAGAAAATTTTCAAAAGTATCACAAACAAAAAGAGCCATGGGCTCACTCGTGCTTTTCATTTGTGGAAGTTGATTGTATTCGGGGAGTGATTAAAAACGTAGAAGTCTTCGTTACATGATTTCAATTCAAAAGTTTTGAGTGTTGTGCTATTGTCAATGCATGATGAAACTGAAAAGCGCACAAATAGTAAGAAACCGCCGGATGGGTACGACTCATTCGTTCCCCATGTACAATAATAAAGCAGCGACTTGAGCACAGCATCCGACTATATACTTCAATCATACAAGTAGAATACCATCGGTTCAAGCACCGATACTGCTTAACATGAGGGATTGTCATTAAGTAAATCTTCGACAACGATTGGCGAGAAGAAAACGTGCAGGCACGATTTCTACGTTTTGATCGAACAGTTCGATAGTGAAATGAAGTTTGGTTGAGATCAATGCAGTAGGACATGAATGATGTTGGGAAGGCGTGAGTTGATGTGGTGGAGTGACATCAACATCCATATATACTCACCCACCGACCGCCCACACCCACACCCTCTCCACTTGGGTTCGCTCGAATAGGCTGATTTTTGAATTAGTAGTATAAACCTATTTAAAGTTAATTTCATAGGACTAACGTAAACAAATACTGCTGTCAAGTCATATTTTTGGCCTCACGGGAACAATTCCACCTACTGTCAAAGTGTGGATGTGGGTTTGGGCGTAGGTTAGTGGAATTTTTTTCTTCGTACACTTCCACCCAAGACTCAAACCAACACTTAGCCTTGCATTCCACCCATACGCACACTCGTAGACAAACCCTTATCTCCACTCCACCTCAACGCCCATACCCTATCCTCACATCCCTGCACAACCGCAGGTACGTCAATACCCAAACTCACATACACAAACTAGCACTGCTAGACCTTCCGATTTCGTAGGAAAAATTCCTATTTTTGAACTTTGTTCGGATCGCTTTCTGATTTTTCGATTTTTTCTTTCATATGAATGCTTTGCAATGTATGAGTACACGTAATTTGTTTTTTGCTTCCTTTCTTTTATGAAGTTTGCTAGAAGTTGTATGGAAAAAGAATCATTGAGAACTAAATTACTTTCTTGCATTGTTCATACGAATTGAGCTGCAACTGTATATTGCTTTTATTATTTTTCTTTGTCAGGACACACATTTAAAGATAATGTGTATAAATGAACAGAAATAGGATAAAGCATTTCGTTAGTAAAAAAAAGTATATGATAGATCTCTTCACAAAAAAAACAGCATCCCGATGTTTTCCGATTTTAAAAATAAAAATTTCAATCTTTAACTTTTCCATCTGACAATCTCGACTCCAATCCACATCAACAGTATCACAAACATCCAAATTCAGACCCACACTCGACATACCTACATCCACGTCCACACGCACATCCTTGGTTCTTGTTCCATCAATAGAATTTATAGGCATATAGAGCTCAGATTCAAACTCATCGTCTTGAATTATTTATAGAGATTCATTTTTCGAAAAACTCGATGTCTATTGGTTTCTAGTCCAACAGTAGGACTTCGAGGAAAACGGAGCTCCGGTTCGGGCTCCTTACACCAGAAAGCCTAGTAATGACTTTGATAGACTCTCGAAATATAAATTCTGTGACGGAGCAACATAGCTTTAGTTATCGATCAATCGAACATCGGACAAACAGACGAATTTTCGTTCTTGTAGACTCATGCTGTTAGGATTGACACAGATACGAAATTTTCTTTTAGTTCTATAGTATTTCTACAATAATCAAGAAAAGATTGTCTCGAATATGTCAATATACCGAAAAAAATTTCCCTCTTATTGAAGAAAAACAATAAGCTAAACCTTGATCGACACATAATGGAACAATTACGGAAAATCGAGAGTAGAAAACACTTGAATAGAAATATCGGCATTCGATGGTAGAAAATAAAAGAACTTTATTCATCATTAGTTAACCATTTATTCTTATTTCAATTTGCACGAAGGATCAATTGAAATTTTCAATTGATTTTTAAGAACGACTATTTCATAATATATTATGTCTAAGATTAATCAAACATGAAACGTCCAGTATTCACAATAGAATAAATACCTCTGAGAAAACATAGTTGTACTCAATATTTCACATATACCATCATAATAAAACACATTTATTGAAAAATAATTATATATTCTAAAAGCGCTTGGAGTTTTCTATCAGCCTGTATATTCATGTTTTAGTTTGGATCGGAGTTGTGCACAAGACAGGACAGTCCTGCTATTCTGTGTCCATCTCTGGTTTGCACTTGTACGCCATGAAACTAAATTGAATACAATGAAGGTACCCTCATCAGCAGGTTCACACGGACTAAATTTTGTTACTGTCATCAAAAACTAGTTTTCTTTTTATTTTTTGTTGCTGCAGAATTATTTGTTTTTTAAAAACTTATTATATATTCTGAGAGAGTTTGAAATTTTCTATCATCCTATATATTTATCTATTCTATATAATTGATTATGGGTTAGTTAAATAAGAATATATACTTTGCAATATGTAACTATTATTAAAATACTGTGAAAGATTATCGCTATAATAATACATCTATAACTTTTTTATTTAATCGAGTTTCAAACAGAGATTTGACTGAAAGAAAAGAAAAACACCACGTGCCATTGCCTCATTGTTCATCTAGTTACAACAAAAATTTCATTTTTTTTCTTTTCTTTCTTTTGTTAGCATTGGCAACAAATATGTTTACGTTCTCTTTTCTCCGCTTTACCTTTTTGAATAATGTTTTTTTTAAGAGTATTTTTATTCAGTCAAACTGTAATAGTGTGATCGAACGTGATGGAAACGCATAACTTTAATGGCAATCTAAATTTCTAATAGAGAAATAAAACTTGAGTAAGTTAACAAATGATTTAAAGAAAAATCAAATTGAAGTAAACTTGTTTTTTTTAATAAGAAAATTATTTAGAATTCTTATTTAAAAATTTGAGAATAATCAAAAACAAGAAGTTAGTAATTACATAAATATTCTTTTCCTCTAAATACGAAAATAGATTTTCAATAGACCATAGTAGCTTGAACATTTATTCTTTTTTCAAATAGACTATTGAACAAATGATAGTTAATTAAATCTCAGTAAAAAAATTGATTTATTTATTTTAAATATCGAATAAGTTCAATTATTAAGGAAATATTGATATCGATAAGCAAATTTTTATAAATATTACTTTCAATATTTGATTGAACATAACTTATTTTCAAAATATTTATTTATTTTAAATAGATACACTCAATATATTTTGTTTTTAGAAAACTTATGGATGATTAATCTCTCAAAAATAAGTTAATTCATATAGAATGAATCAACATAGAAGAAAATCAACTTACGATTATATGTTAATATTTTTGTTTTTGTTTCTTTTTTTTGAATATGTTTATAGGTAAAACAACTAATGAACAATTCTATTCGTCATATCTTATTAAATATAAGAGATGTTCAACTAAATCAACGATTTTTTTTTATTTTATAAACAATAGGTCAAGTTAAAATAACCATAGCGATTTTATAAACCTTTTTGTGTTGAGTGATTTGACACATTTGATTAAACACTTTGTTGTCAATTTGTAGATCTTGACTTGAGTTATAATTTTGCTTCCAAGGTCATTTCTCACATTTTGTAATAAATTCATTATTTAAAGACTTATTGAAAAAAAGTGAAAAAAATTCTTTAAAAAAAACTCAAATATAATTATCGTTTCACATAATAGAAACAAAATCTATTTGACAAAATTTTATTTTCATTAAGAAATTTTTCTCTTTAATCAAGAAGAAAAAATTGTTCATGATCTGCTTAAGAAAAATTTCTACATGAAGATTAATAATACGATAAAATTATTAAAGTCAGGTTATTTTCATCTGTTATTCTCTTCAATTATTTTTATATGTTCTACAAATGAAATTCATAAAAATTAAATTAAATTTTCAATGAATAATCATTTTATAAAATGATTCTTTTTTCATAATGAATCATTATTATGTTTATCGTATTATATTTTATAAACAAAAACAAAATCTACTTGAACTGAATGATTTCATTTATTAGATATAAATGTTTGAACAAAATATTTTATTGATCAATTTTCGGTTATTTTCATCAATTGATTCATAGGAAAATCGAATAAATGTTCAATATATATCGAAATTAATAAAAATAAGTTTAATAATTATATAGAAAGATCGAATCTATAATATTTTCTTTTAAATATAATTTTTTTTTGTAGATAAAAATAAATAGTCAATTGTCTGAATATTAAATCTATTTCGAATAAAATTTCTAAATGGGTTCTTCGAAAAGAAAGATAATTGCCGATGTAATGTTCATTTTAATTGATATATTCAATCTTGCTGAACAAATAGGCGTTTATTTTATCATTAAACATGATGATCTTGATGAAGATACACAACAACGATTCTTTTTTATATTGTTTGGTGTTGGTGGAGCTTCAGTATTTAAACCACTTCTTGTTCATCCAGTACTGATGGTTTTATTTAGTATATCAATTGAAATTGGTGAATTAGTGTCATATTTAAAATTATTACCAAATACAACTAGTTTACTCGTTGTAATTATTTTATTTTTTTGTTTCGAAGTTATTTTTCATTTAATAAGTCTAATTGGTATTTGGGATAATGATGATCAAAATCGTTGTCGAAATTTTGCGAAAGGTTGTTGTTCATTACCAGCACGTATATTATCATATGGTTTATTATTTGAAACACAAATATTATTCTTATTTCTTGATTCTCGATCATCATTTCGTGATACTTTCTATGAAGTTTTAATGATTTTAGGAACATTTTTTGGTTTATCTGCAATAGATAAAGCTGCTAAACGCTGTTGTGCTTGTTTTCAAGATAAGGATGAAGAGGAAAATACTTTATATTCAGCATGGGAAGTATTTTTATCATTACTCAGCGCTATAGAAAGTCCTATTATTTTAATAGCTGCAGTTGTATATGCAAGTCAAGCACTTCAAAATAAGGACCAATTAAAAACATATGATTTTGTTATTTATATTATTATATTGATTTTTTATGGATCGCTTCTTCTTACGTTGGCACTAACACTTTTATGTACTCTATGTTTGTGTGCAGGTGCAGCACTAAAATTTTTAAAAGACTCTTTGTTTCCTGGATGATAAATTGAAATAATTCTTATATTTATATACAATAAATGGAATCGATGATTAATAATTAATATTAATTGAAAAATAAATCTGATTTTAGTGTAAGAATATCAATTAGATTGTTTTCGTAGTCACAAAAAAAAAAAATTTTTTTTGATCAAATTTTAGTGTACAATGAAAACAAATGAAAGAATCTAAAATTTTATTTCGTCTATCAACTGTTGCCATTGTTGTTATGGAATTCCAATTCATAGCTGTAGTCAATTCATTGTATAAACTATGATCTAATAGATATAAATCATATCAATTAAGTTGTTCATAGTTCTTCAGCATGAATGCAGAAAAATGATTCGAGCACATCATTCTAGACTATGGTAACGCTTGCCATTTTCAGGATTATTCTATTGATATGTTCAGTTGTTCTCTATCATGGTTTGCTGTGTTTGAGACTTATTGAAATAACATGCTAGATCTACTTTTCTGCGTCCATCATTCTGTAGTCCAAAATCACGGGCGTTGTTGAATATAGACTATATGTACATCTAAGCAAAGCATAACTTTTTCTGGAAATTTCGTTTTGTTATGTACGTCAACGTTCTTTTCAGTCTTTTCTCTATTGTCAGTCCACACCTGATCGTTCTGAACATTTTACATCCAATCTAAATTAAAGAATAACTTTTTAATCTGTAAACATCGATTTTTTTTCTCTGCCATTTTTAATGAAATGATTGCCCCATGAGAGGGACATTCGGTTGTTAAGGGTTAATGTAATATTGATTGTAGATTTGTTCTTGAAGTACTGACTTCAACGGATATTGTTCTTGTCTATGGTTGTGTTATGAAATAGCTACTAGATTATCTTTGAGATATTCATTTTTGTCCAAACAATGCGTGAGCAACCTGAATGTTTAAAGAAATTAATAGAGCCATTGATGTTAATCATTTTTTGAAAATCTAAAATAGCTCTATTCGCAAGAAATATGACATAGTGAGTTTTGTAGAGGAAAGTTTGCTTTATAAAACTCTATAACCAGTTTTCAGTTTCATTTGAATATCATAATTAAATCTCACAGTAGACATGTTGTTCGCGATGTCAGACACGTCAACATTTGAAGTCATTAACGTTGATAGCACCAGCCTGCGACGCCTTCGTGATACAATCGTTAATGGCTCCTTACATATCTCCATTTCGGCCCAATGCTGTAGATGTTCCCACGATTCCTTGGCCTTTCGTAGAGCACTGGAACTTGGCGTCCCATTTCCATTTCCACTTGACAAGCGACCTTTGAGATTGCCAGTACACTGATTACCACACACATTGATCGGTGTGTCTTGGCCCCACTGATGAATTTTCCAAATGGCATTTGCCAGTGCAGTCGCACATCCTATATAATTGCCAGAAACGAGACCGCCAACATACGTTTCTGTGGGGAACTCGGTCTAAGTATTGCTTGTAGCAATGCCAATGAGAAGAAAGATCAGAAGAACGATAAGAATGACTAATTTGTTCATCTCTGATAGATGTCCTACAAAGAATAAACACAAGAATCATGATGAATGGTACTTTTTGTCATGCAGTGTAATGACTTTAGAGTTTTAAATTTCATTATGAGAATCTGATGGATCACTTCCTACATCTGTCAGAAAAGGAACCATCTTAGCTCAGAATTAATGTAACTATAAAAGACTTTGAAATTTACTATTACAACACAAATCAAACTATGCATTTTGTATTTGTCATAAAATATAAGGGTGGTATCGTACTTACCTATGTAACGTTTTCAATGATCAGTGCAGCGAATGGAATTATGCGAGCTGCATTGCTTGCATTTTATTATATACCCTACTATGATTCACTTAAGTGTTTTTTTTCTCCACTTGTCGTGTAAATTTTGAAGCAAAATTACTTCCTTGTACCATGCTTCATTTACTATATCCAATACGGCTAATAAAATAGTGGGTGTACGTGTGCGAGTGTGAGTGCGGATGTTATCTATGATTTAAAGATACACCCACACCCACACCTACACCCACACCCACACCCACGCTAACACCCACACCCAAGCCCACACCCACACCCACACCCACACCCACACCCACACCTACAACCTATCATGTTCATACTGGTATTAAAAAGATGCTAAATGTTCTGCATTCGTATTAACAATCAAGAAAAAAATGCTACAGCACAATTGACATTATAGTTAATTAATGCTAAAATGTCAGCATTAGGTTAACATTATTTTTTTAATGTAGTGCCTATCCTCAATACAGGTCTTACAAGGCGGCTTGGACAAGCTTTCTGCAACCTTATATCCAATGCTTGGATATGCTACTTGCAGCGCTTCAGTCACTAACTGTACATGCTTCGCTTAACTTTTCAAGCTGAACATTTACAGGTTACACGGTCGAGTAGCATCTGAAATGCAACAGATAGCAATTGACATCTATCAGATACCAATTGAGACGCTACAAGAAGTACCTGAGCTGCTTCAGCTATCATGGCAAGATAGCACCTGAAGGGCAACAAGTAGCACGTACAAGTAGTTTCTGGAAAGTTATAGCTAACATATCGGTGGAGCTCGAAAAATAAGATTGAACATATTTTGTAGAATTAAATATAATGCTAACCTAATAGTAACATCCTGCCATCAGTTAATTCTAATCCCAAGAATGATGAAACATTAGTCTTAACCGTTACTTCTAATGTAAAAGCGCTAGTTTTTTCTCAATACTAGTGCCAACATGACATTCCCAGTTGCGATTACTGTGTATACAGACATGCGGATGGATCGTGACTCTTCGAGGAATTTCTTTGTGCTTCCACACCATGACACTGATACGAACAATCAGATAGGCAGGGAAAAAATGCTTCTTCCCAATAAATAGTCATGATGAAAATTTTGAGTTATGGAATAAAGAAAAAGAAAATAAGATGTAATAACTACACTGACATTATAAATTGTATCAAAAATTTTTCTCAGAAAGATTGAATCTCTGTCTTTTTCTCGTAGTTATATGACAGCTCTATCTCAATTATAAATTATAATTCGAATAAAACTTTTTTATTTGTGCTAGAGGCAAGTGCTGCTCTAATTTTATTTCATTCATATTCGAACTCGAGTTAGGCAACTCTTGATTTGTTTCATGACTTCGAATATGTGGTGATTGTCACAATAAAATATTGATCAATGCATATTTGTTTGAAAAAGAGATGTCTGATTCGATTCTACGCATTTCAAGCAAACACAATACATTATTCGAATTCAATTTTCAGCTCGTTGTGAGAATAAGAGAAATTGCAAAGATAACTTACAATGTCACTGCGATTGCATATTGATTAAGTATAATTTCAATGTGAACATGCTTCAAAATAGATTATCGAAAGTCGTATTTTGTTTTTTTTTCATAGCTGTTTTATTAATGACCAACCTGTTTCTTTACTAATTCAAGGCCTTCCTCCTCAAAAAAGTTGATTTTCATCGAAAAGATGAAAATTAGCATAAATGAATAGGGAGGGTGTGGATGTGTCTGGAGTGTGGGGTGTGGGTGTCTGGGTGTAGGTTTCGATCTGGGTCTGTGTCTGGGTCTGAGTCTGATTAAAGAACTTAGAATCTCAAACATTCATACCCATACCCACACCCATAAGTTTCCTTTCTGTAGTGAGAATTTGAAGTGCAACTGCACTTAAAAAACATGCAACCAGCAACTAACTAGGCAATATCCATATTGTAACGGTGTATATACAATGAATTCTAAATGTTATTGGTGGTATGGGTTGAAAACCGCAACCTGCACAGATTTACTTTAATGAAAAAATACTTTTAGAGATTCAGGAATATGAGTGTTACAGTAGTCAACAGCGGGAGTAAGCTTCATATCATCAGCTTAAGGATTGGCTAATGTCCAAACTTGAGCTGCTGTTAATTCACGTCTATAAAGATAAAATTCATCCAGGGCACCAGTAAATACACCTCCGTAAGATGGACTGCAATAGGTTCGATTGCCATTTCAAATATTCAAATTTCACGTCGATTCATACAGCTGTAGGTGACAATAATTCAATAGGTCATTGATCACATATATTGACGAATAGCTCTGTCACCACCCAATATAATACGCATCGGAAAACCAGAGCCTGACAACGTAAAAGAACCTGTCGTCGAGTATTGGGTACCATTTATATACAATCGAATACCGTTAGTTGTACTATAAGTATAGCCAATATGTGTCCAAGTATTTAATGGTAGGATGGGACCATTTGTGGCTACGATAACACCATTCCAACCATTGGCAACTAACTGTCCAGTTGATTGCATTACTAAATAGTGAATACACCAACCAGATGGCAGCTCTACAAAAACAAGTGTTTGTTGTGCATAACTTCCCGTTGGCTTTGCCCATAAGGCTATTGTGAGTGGATGACCGCTGATACCCAAAAAGTAAAATGGAGTATATGAATAGTATATATAAGGTCCTGAGTTAAATTGCAATGCTTGATTAACTCGACCAGTTGTACTTGATAGATTTCCATAAGCAGTTCCATTGATACCATTGGGACCATTGTCAGTAAGTGAACCACCATCAAATGAGTAGTAAACATGTAGAGTAGCATCATTTAAAATTTCAGTCGCATTTTTAGCTCTAGCCTCAAATCGTACATTGTCTATGTAACCATTAAAAACAGGTGGATTGTTTGATTGAAAAGTGACACCAATAGTTGTTATTCCCCACAAACCATCGTAGGCGCTGGCCGAACGTGAACCATCAAGGTTACCATTAAGCCAAACTTGTTGTGTCATCGTGACTGAATCATAAACACAAGCTACATGGTACCATGTGTTCATTGTTATATTGGTCCCACCCGATAAGTCGTTGGCATAGAATGCACAGTATAATTTGAAGTTTCTAACAAGGAAGTGTAAACATAAATTGTAACTTCTTGCTTGACATTGACCGAATATTCCATAGTCACCAGTACTGGAAAAACCAATAGGATAGATCCAGACTTCGATTGTAAAGCTACGCGAATGGAATGGAAGTACTTTCGGTGTAATATAAACATATTGAGTAGAGGACTGAATAAAATAGATGGCAGCACCGTATCCAGCAAAACTAGTTGTATAAGTTGGGCTTCCAGCGGGAGCACCATCGAGACCACTATTATACAGTTCCAGTGCATTGCTATCAAATGACCAGAAGGCACTAGTTATATTCTCAGCAATTGTAGTAGTGGTAGCTAAAAGGTACATGATCGACAAATGAACAGTTACTGCAAACAGAGTACAAAGCTCTTGAAAACGCTAGGCGAACTCAAGGAGATTTATGCTAGTTATAATTGATATCACTAAAAGAAACTCTTCAAAAGAATGTTTTGGTCTCAGAGCAAATCTCTCGAAATGTAATGTCATTTTCGAGGAAAGATATTGATTTTAAGTGCAAGACCAAGAGACTGAAGTAACTCATGCTTTAATGTCTCATTCTTTGCAATAGAGTAATAATACACGAATGCTTAGTATAGTAGCTTTCCATTAATGATAATGATTCGCTCAGAGAAATAAATCAATGATTTTCTATTGTGCATTTCGCCTGAAAATAGATATGACAATAAATATCATATTATGAACATTCCAATCAAAACAAATAAATTGTTCTCAAGGTTGTAATTCTTAAAAAAAATAACGATTTCACAAAACAATCAGAGAAATAGTAGGATTACATTGAGTATGGGCATGGATCTGCTCTTTGTCAACACTCACAAATTTTTCGGATTGTAATATGCAAGGAAACTGTTGAATATAATTGAGATCCCAAAATTTGGAGAACTCATCAACAAATAAAAAAAATGGACAAATATATTTTTGAATCAAAACTAGTTAGTCCATTGAAATATAATCGGAAACGTATTTTTTGCAATGAGAGTTCAGTCACACTATAAATTTGACAGTATACGTACTTGTTGTTGATGTTGTCCATGTCGATGTTGATGTTGATGTTGTTGACGTCGTTGTTGTTGCTATTTGTGATAGAAATTGAAAGCTATATGAAGTCATACGAAAGAACTTTCAAGGCCGAGAAGACCATTAGATGAGCCTTATGTTCACTATTTTATACTTAGTATCCAGTAATATAAGTGCAATTTTAGTATTGAACAATAGGGATTTGTTACATCAAGGGTCAAATGGGCAACACGGAAGTCATCCGAAATCATTTTCGGTAGTCGTAGTGATAAAAAGAAGTCATACGACATATCGGGATTTGGTACATTCTCTTATTCTCAACATATAGTCCGTATGGTTCTAAAAATCTTAGCACCTTTGTCAAGACCTATTTATTTGTTTCAAGTGACACGTAAGTCATTGATTCTTAAAGTATACAATGAAATAGTCCATAGAAATTGCTTATTCAATCGTGTATTTTTCTTGATGCTCAATAATTCAACGTGGTATAAGATTGAATATTTCTAATGCCAGAAAATCAATATAGAAACTTAGCTGCGAAAGCGTTATAACTGTTTTTCAGTATTATATCACTTGTTACTATTTTATTTTTGTCAGTTAGATTCAGCTTGTTTAATTTTACACAAGATTACTAGATTTATTCCACTTGAGTCTAATTGGCAGTAATTTTCTCATTTAACTTTTACTGTACATATCGAGATCAAAAAGATTGCAGACTAATATATTTTATAATTAACAAAAAGTCCTTTTGTTTTGGTATTGCTATCTGCGAGGCGTTTGTACTATTTTTTATCTCTACACAACATGAGTTCCGATCGATCATACACTGACTTGTGAATATAATAATACTTTGTAGATAGCCTTACATATACTAAACGAGTACATAGCATTTGGGAAAAAATTGTTGTTTTAGTAGGTTCATTCCTAT